AGTCCTGACAATGCCAAAACAATTTAACCTTAGTCTCAAACTTCTTACCACATCCACAATCATAACTGCTCATACACTTCGTCTTCATTTTCAAGTGCTTTTTCAAATCCGCTTCTTTCTTAAAAGTTCTCTTACATTCTTCGCACTCCATATATAGACTAACATATTTAAGTGCGCTGTTGCCCTCAACCACACTTGGAGTGGGGGTCGTCCGTAGATGGATTTTTGACGCGGGTCTTACCCCGTGTTGAGATTGCGCTGGAACCCCCATTCCCTATACTACTTGCATCTAAGGGCTTCTTTGTGATTGACTCTAATAGTTTGYGATATGTCTCTACCTTGACGTCACGACCAACGATATACTCATCAAATTTGGCGCGACCAAAAACAACGCGCTAAGTTCTTTCTCTAGTTGAGAGTAAGATTGCTGCGTTGGTGTAAGTGCTTTTGAAGCATATGCTACAGGGCAATCATTTTGTATTAGAACTGCTTCCAATCCTGTTGAACTTGCATCCACCTGTAATGTGCGTTTTTCAGCCGGATTATAATATGCCAGTACTGGGGCTGCTGACAATATTCTCTTGATTGCTTGGAAGCTTTTTTGTTGCTTCTCATCCCAGTGCCAAACTGTTTCCTTTAGCAGTAGTTGTCTTAGAGGTGCTGTCAATTCTGACATGTTGGAAATGAACTTGCTCACATAATTAAGTACTCCAAGTATAGTCTTTGGACACCTGTTTTGTCTGTTGGTCTATGCATTTTTAGCATAGCTCTTTATTTTAAAGGTACTTTACCTCTTTTTTCTTGATTTTAAGTAGATGTTTGCTATTCATTCGCCAGGAAGATGAAAAATATTGTATATTTTGGCTTCATGAAGCCCGCAGCAAAACAAGACTAAACACTTGGTTAGGTCTTTGCATCGCACCGCAAAAATACCATATTTTTTCTGGCGAGTTAATAGCAAAAATCTACTTTAAATATCTACTAACATATATTTCTTGCGAGAATAAGGAATTTTTATCGTTATTTAGTGCGCTAACTTACCTTTTATCACTAAAAAAACTACCCGAATCCGCCATCTTTTTTTMCATTCGCATAGCTAAAATCCTGTAGAATGACAGCCACAATGGCGGATTTGATCACGTGACCTCTTAGTTGAAATCTAAAGTTACATATTTCTAATGTGTTATACACTACTTAGCTATTAGAGGGTCCTCATACTTTTTTGTGACATGCTCTTGTACTCTTTTGGCTCTTTACCAGTAAAGGGCCAAACGAGTACAAAAGCATATCACAAATAAGAACCCTGAATAATGAATAATTTTTTTTAAAAATCTACGAACCTTTTCGCTGTCGTATCACAGCGTGGAACAAKCACAACAGAGCAAGGCTCCAAATTAAGTGAAAGCCCAGAGATCGAATTAGAATTTAGAAGTTGATTTTTGAGGAGGGAGGAAAACCGGAGGACCCGGAGAAAAACCCTCGAAGCACAGGAGAGAACCAACAAACAACTCTACTCACATACGACATCGAGATCGGCAGGACTCGAACTCGGGCCGCATTGGTGAGAGGCGGCGCATTAGCAGCGCACGCCACCAGTGCTTCCCACAATTAATTAGCATGATTATTCATTGTGTTTTCATTCATGCCGAAATCAAATCCCTCTCCGGGCTCTAAAGTGCAATTGAACCCTTCGACAATACTTTCAGTACTGATTCTACATGAAGTAAATARTTGAATGGTAAAATATTTCTTGATTTGAGTGATGAGTTTCTAAGTTATGAAGGCTTATACTTCCAATATGCAAATGAGTGTGATGTCTATTAAGGCTTAATTAAATATACAAAATCGAACTGGTTCATAGATACAGTATTTAAAAAGCATCATTATTTTACTCATGGTTTACATGAAAGCTATTTAAATTTTTTAGTTTTAAAATGGCCAGCATTTAGTATTACTAGTTACGACTAAAACACTCAAATATCTTACCTGACGTCATCATCATTAACATATTGGAAGTATAAACCTTCATAACTTAGAGATGCATCTCTCAAATCAATAAATATTTCACCAATCAAGTATTTGCTTCATACAGAACCAGTACTGAATGTATTGTCAAAGGGTTCATTTGCACTTTAAGAATGTTGAGTTTTTACTTGGTATAAAGATCCATGCACGTGATGGATTTGAAGGACCTGATAGGTCTAAATGCTCATTAATTATTCATGTCAAATTATAATTTTTTGCACGATAGTGCCTTCACGATAATAGGCAACATACTGTACGCTCAGTTTAGTAAGCAAAATCAAATATTTATGATTTATTTTAGCGTGAAGCGATTTAATTTTAGAACTTAAAGTTTCATCATAACAAAAGATATGTTATGAGCCATATAAGTTAGATCTCAATAGCGAACCAATATATAAATAATGAGTACACGCCATCGTTGCAGGTTCCGGCGTAGGTATATACTAATGTTCATTTTCCTGCCACTATCTGAACCAGCTTTCAAACTTATCATTCACATGTTTTTTATTCTGAATATGCTTGCTTAGTCCAACGAATTTTTAATTTCACTTTTCATCATTTGTAAAGCTAAGCTCGRCTTGCTCTTGGGCGATGGTTCCATTATGAGATGCTCTGGTCAGAGTACACTGGGAGCTTGATTGGTTTGAAAATGGCACAYCTGGTATATCCATGTGAAATAGATCATTCTCAGAATGTTCATTGATAGAGCAACATTTGAAGAAACACCAAGCAACTCGCGACCGAAATTCACCGATACAAAACAAAAAAATGACATCAATGACGATAGTAAATGAATACTGTAGACATCTTAATGACATTATTGTCTGAAAGTAAGGAATATTGCAAGCAGTGCAGGTGTGATAAACTGCATTTATTACATGAAGCGGAACACAAAAAACTGTAAAACACAATGCTATTAAGGCGACCATCGTTGCAAGTCTGAATTCCTTGTTCCTTATTTCAGAAGAAAGCGATTTCATTTTCTTTGTTAGTATGGCAACAAAAATGCCCAACACTATCAATAAAGGAAATGGAAAGCAAATAACAGCTACCACCAATGCAAGTCCTTTAAAGTTCTGATATAGATAAACTACAATAGCTACCAAGGAAAACAAAACAGCCAGGAACCATACGACAGCGCAAGTCAAATAATCAGGTAAATCAGCAGCGATTCGGTGTTGAATTGGCCAACCAATTGCATAGAGTCTTTCTGTCATTAAAACGACTATATGGAGAACAACCAAAACTCCATAGAAAAGATCGAATGTGTAGTAGAATATGGCACTGAATTTATACGTTATTGACGAGCTGATCTCCACAATATCATAAGCAAGGACATAGATCCATATARGAAGAGCAACAACAGTTAATGAGAAATTGACAAACAGTAAACTTACTAAGAAATGTCTGAGCTTAGGATGACGAAGTCTGCCGCCGAGAACCACAATGATTAGTCTCAAAAGTATGATATTCAGAATTAAAGAGACGACGAATTCTATGCCCATGATGAAGACCAATATCCAAGATAAGGTCGATGAAATGTTGTCCATTTTGTGCTCGTCCTTTATATCACGCCTGAAGTGTTGATTCACATTTTTCACATTCTCAGGTAAAACTTAAATAGAAAAKAGAAAGCTATTAATTATAGCTATCAGACTTTGTAACTAGCTGAGGATACAACGTATATAATATTAAATTAACTTTAGAGAGCAGAGTATGTTTTAGATAGAAAATTCTTTACATTCAAATATGAATACTGATCAGCAAATATTTCAGTACTAAAAATTAAATCCGGCTTAATCCGTGGCTGGAATTCATCCATTTCCTTTGGCACTAACAGATATTTAATTACCTGTTACAAAACCACATATTGGTCCACATGCATATTACATAACATTAGTTTTGCTTTGGTTCGAATTGGTAAAAACAATGTCATTCCATTTTTGGCCAACTTGAAAGCTTACAAAAATATGTTTTTAAGTCTTTTATTTATTTTTCAATCCTTCAGCTCTCCTCTTCTCATTTTTTATTTCCCTTTTATACTAAAGAATTTTTGTTACCTAGTTTTAAATTGCCGTGTATTACCAAAGTTTTGTTTTTTGCTTCCCCGCTGCTCATGCAGTTGCCACAAAAATATGTCTTTCCAATATTATTTCATAGGCATGTTTATTTTAGTTAACCCCAAGTGACTTCATTACCAAACCGCCTCTTTACTTTAGGGCGACGCCGACGATTGACTCCGCCGGACTATTGCTATTGTAAATTAATTTTCTTATTCACATAAGACATCAATCTTAAAATTCATTATTGCCGAATGCGGTTATTTTTTCCATAGTAACTAATTAAAAAAAAAAGGTTGGTAGAAAAAGGCATTATGACTTGTGAATCTTTATTTGTTACCAACCTTTGTTTTGTTACAGACGAGCATTCTAACATTAAAAAGAACTAAKCGCAAAAGAGATCGGAAGTGGCTTGCATAAAATAATTCTTCCTTGGTAACTTCAGTGATTTAAGGCTTATTTCTTTTTTGTACTTTTACGATAACTTACCTTAATACCTCTCTTGCTCCACCTATCATTTTAGCCCTAGCTTAGTCTCAGCTGCTTTACTTGACTGAATTTAAAGTATGGCAAACTGACAATACTAGACCAAGTTATTCATTAATTATAAATGAGAATGGAGCGAACCAATGTGCATCACTGCTTGTGATATATATATATGTATATAATATATGTATATATATGTATTTTTAATTGTTTGTCAGATCGCTGGCAGGTTTGATGAATATTAATTATGGCATTATGGATATTTCTTTCTTTTCTTAGTGACAATTGACAGGTGGTTGATGTGATATCGTAAATCGTGCTTTGATAAGACATCTCATTAATTCCGACGAACAAAAACGTTTTGATCAAAGTGTTTACATTTTGATTGAAAAACAACACCTAATTCCAAAATTAGAACTCAATTTTATCAATAAATGTAATGCTTTAGATTACTAGTTGCCTTTCTTTCCTTCGATTTCATAATCTACTTCAACAGAAGCATTGTCTATTTTTAGGATTGATTTGCGTTATTTACGTTAGATGTACTTGTCGTTGTTCTTACACATTCTGAGGTTGGCAGGTCATGGAAAATGATAAGATTAACGAAAGCTAGTATTCTACTGTATTATTCAGATCTGTGTATCTAACATCAGACGAAAAATAGACACTGCTTTCAGACAACACCGTTTATAGCACAAAACTTTAACCTCGCGTTTTCTTTTCCCCAAATAATGCAAAACAAATAAAAATCATTCGCATATACTGCACTGCAAGCCGCAAGCCGAATTTTAGGACACAGGTTCATTTTGAAAGTTGCGTTTTTAAAATACTTTTGGGTGATTAGCAACGCAAAAGGTGTGGTAACATTTTTATCTGAAGAGGATTTGTTGACAGACGTTTTACTTTCCGACCGGATTAGGTAATCCAATGTCTTTCCAGAAAAAAACATTTACGTATACGGTAAACGATCTTGACTAAAAGTACACACGAGTACATACGAGTAACATACGAGTGACATACGACCACATACGAGTACACACGACTACATACGACTACATACGAGTGACATACGAGTGCCATACGACAACATACGAGTGACATACGACAACATACGAGTGACATACGGCTAAAACATACAAAATACCACTAGAAAATGGAATCAGTCACCTTTTTATTTTGAAAGACATTACTGTAAGAAATACGATAATCACGGCAGTAAAATAAGTACAGTATAGTCCCTATAACTCGAACAGTTTGTAACTTGAAGCTCACGATAAATCAAAACCTAACTTGATATCTCATGGACTTTCATCATGCATTATTTACACTTGGCAAACTTCGACCCGGCTCTCGCAGCGAACTCAAGCTATTTTTATTTCCCTTCAGGTCATCAGTTCTCTTACTTTATAATTCGGCCCTCGATAAATGGAACCTCGTTTGCCAAATGTAACGAGTTAAAACCTACTCCAGGATTAATTTTTTTTGGTTTTTCTGCATTTATCTATATTTTTATGTTCTATTTTGATGGCTAAATATTGTTCCTTTTTTACCCTTTCTTTGTACTAATAAAGCAGATAAAAATGGGGTTTTCAAGGTTTCAAGGTCACAAGTTTCGTTTATTTTGCAGATAGTATTGTATACCTTATATTTACAATTTTTTGTCTATTCATTGGAGGTACTAAAAAAAATTATGCACATTAAAATAATATATATACGAAATTGCGTGGGTAAATAACTATTCAAAATATATTCATAATATTGAAATATTATTTATTCATCACCTATCACCTATCAAAATTTTTCCAGTAATTGTGGCAAAATACTGAAACGCTTTCTATAATTGATCTATTATTATCCATTATGTTACAATTTAAGTTTGAATGACATATGGCTGTTTACACAAATATTCTTTTTCTTTAAGTAGATTAGCGGTGTCATCTCCAGGCGGTTGGAGATTAGATCCGTGAAACTAGTTGTTTACTAGTGAGGAAAGCCCACGAATTCCATAAGGTTGAGAAGTTTATTGTAGTACCCGTCGAATTTCCGTACGATTTTCGTCCAAGTGGCAAGCATGGGTGGCGTAGCAGTGAGAGCTCTCGCCTCTTACCAATGCTACCCGGGTTCGAGTCCCGACCAGCTCGGTGTTGTATGTGAGTTGAGTTGTTTGTTGGTCCTCTCCTGTGCTTCGAGGGTTTTTCGGGTCTCCGGCTTGACCGGCTTTCCTCCCTCCGCAAAAATCAACTTCTAAGTGGAAGAAGAGCCACTCTGTGGAATCCACTGTTAATCCCATTATTATTATTATTAATATTAATATTAATATTATTATTATTAATAATATTAATATTATT